TTTTATACAAATTTTATACAATATATCTTTTGTATGTTTTGTATCTGATTTATACATAGTAAAAATAAATTTCACACAACTAATTATATATTATACAACTTATCTACAACTTTCATATATTATTTCTACCTAGTTATATACAACTACAATATCATACAATTTAAATATAATTTTTATACAAATTTTATACAATATTGTTCAACTTTCATACAATATTTAAATAAAAAAATATATATAAATAACATAATACAATTTATTTACAATTTTACTACAACTTTACTACAATTTCGTAAGTATAATGTATGTCATGTCTTCTTCTTCTTCTTCTTCTTCTTCTTCTTCTTTTTTTTCTTTTTCTTCTTCAAGTTTCAATCTGAAATTCAGCCAAAATCAAGTCTAATCTTCACCAAAACACCCTTAAAATTGAGATATAAACTCCAAACAATATTCCCAATTGATTGCAACAATACCCAATCCAAATAAATAATGGTTTTTGAAAATTCAAATTCGAATTCAAAGCTTCAAAGCTTTTTAATTGCTATCAATGGTGGAGAGTCAAACACCTTCAAAATTTATTGATTGACAATTTTAATTTGAATACCAATTGTGCAACATTACTGGAATTTGAACACCAATTGTGCAACACTTTCAGCTTTATATTACTGAAATTTCAATAAGCATGTAATTGTTGTTATCTTTCCCTTTGCTCTACATTATTGGAATTAGGGATTGGGAGAGAGAGAGAGAGAGAGAGAGAGAGAGAGAGAGAGAGAGAGAGGGGCCGGAGGGAGAGAGAATAAGGATGAAAATAATTGATTCCTAATATAAAGGGATACTCATTTAATTCCTAAAGTGTATATAATTGGTAAATTTGTATATAAGATGTAATTAAATTGAAACTTGAGTAGGGAGGGTAATAAAGTTTCAAATAGTGTATAGGAATGTAAAAATCTCTTAAATAAATAGGTCCAAATCTACTGGGCTAGCCCATTTAATTAGGTTACAAGTGATGATCCCACTTTAATAGGCCCAATATACCATCTTCCTAGAGGTCCAGTTTGGTACCACGGGTCAAATGACGTGGCACGCCAAATCAAGCGGTATAGCCAATATGATCATACCACGTGTCAAAATGACATGATATGCCAAGTCACATTAAAAGGCCAATGAAACCGCGCCACGTGTGCAAGTGACATGTTTTGACCAATCAAATGCGGTCTTGTCACACTTCAATTTAATTGGTCAAAAAGAGTTTGTTCTTATCATAACTCTTCCCTCTACAACTATAAATAGGGGGCTTCATAACTCAGAAAAGATACAAGAAGTTATAACAAGAAGCAAGAGACAGCTCGTGGATCAAACACCACAAATTTCTCTACAAGTTTCAAGCTTCAAGCAATCAAGTTTCAGTTCAAGAAATCAAGTTCAAGCTTAAGAACGAAGAACAAATCAAGATCCAAGGAGTACGAGTTCAAATCAAAGTTCGTGCTAGTTGAATCCAAGATTATCGTTCGTGGCAACAAGTATAGATTCAAGATCAAGCTCAAGGGTCCTTGAATTTATTTACTACTGGAAAGAAGAATCAGAAGATTCATTGAGATTGTACACTCATATTATTTGAAATCAAATACTATAATTGTTACAATATTTTTCGATCTTGATTTTATTTTCTCGACGCAATTTATTGTCTACCTTATTCATTGTCCCAGCCCTTGCCATATTTCTTCATTGTTTTCTTTTCCTTTAGCAGTTTTGGTTTTCTTCTTTACTGAGAGTATTTCTGGGTTACCAGAATTGCCCTCAGAACATTCTTTTCACCACATCTGCGAATACTATCACACAAAAAGAAGGCATATTTTATTCAAACCGCTTTAGATATTTGATATTGTCTACTTCTTAGCATGCATCTAAACCCTTTACTATCTGGTTATCTTTGCTTCTAAAAATAGTTAAGGAAGCGGTTGCTTATTCAACAAGCGTCAAATTTTAGGACAAAGTTAGTTAGGTTAGTTAATAATTAGTTACTCTTTTTTAATTTAAATTTGAAATAATTAAATATGTATATATTTTTAAGAAAACTATTATAAAAAAAAAATATAAATATATAACTTCAATGTATAGATATAAAATAATAAAACTAATTTATTTTTTGAAATAAGAAGTTTTTGAATAATAATTCATATGGTCATGCTATATGCTATATGGATAAGATAAAATTAAAGACAAAAATATAAACAATAATTTCAAGAAATAAATAAAATATATAAAGATATAATTTAACTTCTTATGTAGTAGTCTTAATAAAAAAATTGAGCCTTCATATTAAGTACAAACGGGAAGAAGAATTCAATTTAATTTCTTATTGAAAATAATACAAAAATAATAATTATTATAATTATTAGTAGATTTATGACATACATTAAAAGAATCTCTTTGTTTAACCTCTGAACTAATTCAACACCATCCATTTAAAAATATTATAATAATTATATTCGTATTATAGATAAATACTAAATAAAAAAATGAAAATATTGTAGAACAAAAACTAATGTATAAATAGGAGAATAGATATAATGTGATTCTATCCACACTTTAAATTTATTTGATAAAATTAAGTAAATAAATATTACTCGAATATATTATTGATAAATTTAAATATCAAAATAATTATGAGAAATCCATATACGATAAAGTCAAGTTAAATTTCAAGAGTAATACAGAATTATATTCATTGTATTATATTAAACTGATAATTTATTAAAAATTTATATGATAATTTAGTAATATTAAGTAATGGATAATACAATTAGATAAGCAAGGAGCAAAAAAGAAATAAAATATAAATTTGTGGGGAAAATGTAAAAGTATAAGACTTATAATTAGAATTATGATGAAAAAAGTCGCATATATACACATAACTAAAATCATAATTAAAAAAAGTTATAAAGGAAGAATACTGAAAAATAAAAGGAATTTCAAGTGATAGCATAAAAATGTATATACTAATTAAATTTCTCAGGCAGAAAATTTAAGTTAAAAAATGAACTCAGAATTTTATAATAAAAAATATAAAAATATAAATATACTATTAATATATTATACATAAGATAAGTATATTATAACACAAATTAATACGTAATTATTAAAAATATTGGTAGGTTTTTTTTATAAAAATAATAAAATGCTTATCTCTTTATACTTTTGATGCATTCAAAATTATAATTTAGTAAAAAAAATTACATTATTTAAATTTTCAGTAAACTACAAATGAGAAAACTAATCAAATATTATAGTAGATACGAATGTACGAAAAGAGGGGGATAAAGATAATTTTATGATGTTTATATTTTGAATTAATTAAAAATAAAAGATAAATAAATAACACTAAAAATACTATTGATAAATTTAGACTATTGAAGAATTTTGAACGGTATAACATAAGTTTTAAAAAAAAAAAAAATTCAAAGGACGAAAATATATATATCTATGTAATAGTAAAAGAGAAGTAGTATCAAAATATTAAGTCAATTGACAAGTTAATAAAAAGTCACATTAGTAAATGTATAGTACTAAGTACTTGCTAATTTAATAAAGAATAAGTAAATAACAAACAATTAATTTGATTACTATATGATTTGTATCCTTTGATTTTATATCTTTGCACACTGTATTAAATAACAAAATAACAACTACAATCTATTAAAATAATATGATATATTAGATCATAATTTTATAATATTAATATTCTGTCAAATTATCCGTGCATCGCGCGGGTTCTAAAGAGAACAACAAGAGCTGCTAGTGCACACTTCACCATTCACTCAATGAGTTCATATACCCCAGACAACTCGATTTGCAACAGAAGTTAATACAAGTTTGTTCCATTATTGAAGATTTTCAGCATAATGTTGCTGCCCTTGACATGCTCTAGTAGCCCAATACATTACTTGTTGGCTTTGGAGACTCGTACATTGTCCACAAGCAAGCACCAACTCAAACTAGCATGCTAGAACGAAAAGAGACCCCTGGCTAAAGAAAGAGGTAAAAAGAAACTATCTTCAGGAGAAGCAATTTCCGGCCGCTAAGATCCAAAGTCGAGAGAGAAATAGCCCAGATCGTATACTAAAGTCCGTTCTTAAGATGGTGCCTGAAATCCTATCTTCAGGAGAAGCAATTGCGTCCAATTCATCCCGCCCCAACCGAAAGCAACCTTCGGTATTTAAGTAGTTAAGAGTTTGAACCTTTGAAATCATAGAAAAGCCCTTCCCAACTAGCCTCGTGAAAGATCAACTAATTCAAATGGGTTAATTAATCTTTTCTTGATCGGAAAAAAGCTTTATTAGGGGGTCTTGGTTAGTTGGTTGATGACCCCCTATAGTTTCAAATGTTACAGCAGGCATCGATCAACTTTGTGATATGAACTGACACGAAAAAAGGTAGGTAGTGGAAATGCAAAAGGAAAAAGAAAAGAAAAAATCAAAAATTCCAGACCCAGGACAGAGCATGTTGTTGACTCAAACCACAAAATTCAAGTAACTTGCTTACTCTCAGACACTAGTTAGACAGCTAAAATTCCAATCGACGTACGTAATGTAGCAGGATTCGATAGTGCACCATTTTCCATTCTTGTTGGGATCCAGAGTTTTTTGAGTAGTAGTTTTTCATGAAACATCATGGTTGGGTCGACCAAGGACAGATAATAAAAATTGTAGAAGTTTACATCATCTATTAGCAATAGCGGTAATTGAACGTAAAGTAACAGCTCTTGTGCAATGGCTAAAGGATCCTGGTTGAATCATATATGGAATCGTACGATATCATTCATCATTTGATCAGTCTCTCTCATAACCATAACATTATAACCTAGTATTATAATAGACCTACTATCCCCTTTTAGAAGTTAAATTTATAAAATCAGCACTAGTTCCATTCCCAGTTTACCATTAACTTTAAACGCATACGACTTTGCTCTCGTCTACCAACAAAGTTGCAATCAAAGAGAGGCAGAAAGGGAGATAGATAGATATGCACATAAGCAACCTAAACCCAGGTTTTACTTTATAATTCACAAAAGATTACCACTCAGAACATAAACTAAAAAACATCAAGCTCACTGTATGAAGTTTAAGCTAACACTAAGGAACACTTAACTTTCAACAACTGGTGCTTCATGTCTATATATTAAAGAGTTCAAAGTATGCAGACTGCTATCCCTCTGGTGTGTTCTCCAGTACTTTGCTACTTGGACTACTCTCTGCTACTACGCTCCTGGCTTCTGCAGATGGGCATGAAAGTTAGGGATCAGTCGGACAAGTAATATTCCACAAATGTAATTAATCGCATAAACAGTAACGGAAATGCCAAAGGTTGACTACTAATGAAACCTCAGACTTCTTAAATAAGTTTTGACATTGCAGTAATTTTCCTTTCAAAACCTCCAAATAGTAGTTAAAACTTGATGGGGAGCCCCCAAAAGAAAAGCAAAGATTCAAATTCCAGTCCATTCTTGGAACCATAAACATACATGTACAGGCTGACCGAACAGACATAGCATCGGCTTCCAGTTAAATAGGAATATAGGATAAGATATACGAAAATTAGAGGGGCCTAGGCAAGGAAGGGCAACGCATCTTTCAAAAAGAAAGAATAAATGACAGAGGGTAACTTTAGTGATGAAATATGTTGTAGTGCTTACACTGTGAACTAAAGCTTTGAGCTGCTTAAGAATCTGAGGGTGGTGGTTGTTGCTGGGGCCAAATTGGCTGAGCCATATATGGACGGGGCTGCTGAGCATAAAGAGCTTGATCAACAGGCTTTCCCATGTACATCCCTGAAGCTCCAACCGGTGGAGCAGACTGCGGTGGCATGCCATAATAGAATGGCAGACCCTCAGTCGGGCCTCCAACAGGAAGGGTTCCTCTAGGAATTGATGCAAGCACCTCATCTTTCAAGTCCTCCCTTGGTACAATGTCAACTAAGAAATCAAATATGTCAGTCCTTGTTATGGCTGCTGCGATATCATTTTTCTGCAGTGTCCTCCTTTTGTTCTCCTCGGTGTGGTTCCATGCACGCAGTGTCAACTCAAGTATGAACATCTCACAGGCACGAGCAAATATAACTGGTGCTTCTGCAGAAATCATTCTAACATCTTCATCTGCTTTCATGATTTTCTTGATCCTTGCCAATGGCAGGCTATGATTCTTGAAATCAGTAACATGCTCGATTTCTTGATATTGATTTGCCCAGAAAGTTTGGAGTTGCTGCTGCAATTGTTGTTGTTGCTGCTGATGAATGTGCTGATAAGCGAGCTGATGTTGTGCCATCTGGGCTGAGGAAGCAGAAAGACCAGCTGTTTGAGGAGATTGAATTGCGCCAGCTGAAACTGCAGGAGGAGACGGCCCTGCCATTTGGTTAGCTTGGTATGGAGCACCATATATTGGAGCTGAGCTAGAAACGACTCCAATACCTGGAGGCTGTCCATTTCCATGATGATCCATTTTGAGCAAGTGACCCTTTTTCGGGAGAATTCAAGGCTACCTTAGGCTGTGAGTAAGTTAGAAACAAGTAACAATTTTAGATCCTAAATATCATCTTTACAGGTATTGTAAACTGTATAAAGAAATCAAAAGAAAAACCAGTCATTCCGTTTAATAACGTTGATAGAAGCCCTGGCTTATGAAGGATTAGAGGAGAAATTGAGCTCACAAGTGATAATACATAATGAGACCATAATAATAGTATCAACCTTCTTTAACAACTTGGGGAAATGGGCCTTCATGACCATTTACAATGTTGACATTAAGAAAGTGTCCTTTTTATATCTCTTATGTGTAAAAGATAGATCTCTTATGTGTAAAAGTAAATATCCCATGTGTAAAAAAAGAGAGAGGGTCATTAAACTAAAAACAAGTCTGTAAAGATCCACAAAACCATTTGACCCCTTTAACTTCTCACTTGCTCCTACCTATTGATTGTGATCGCTTCTTCTATACCTACTATACTGAGGATATCAACCACATAGAGATAATTAAGCATACTCCATACATGTATTTAGAAGAAAACTTCAGATGCCTAGTCAAGAAGATGCTATTAGTACGGACCATTGAAATTAACAGATATATGCAGGGTATGCAAGGAAAAGTATCTCGACCAAGTAACAGAAGGAAATAAGTCAAATAGTCCCTCTTATCTAAATCCGCAAACTGGTGCGTAGATCGGACAACAAATAATCTGAAGGACATTTAATTCCAGGGCACTAAGAAGGAAATCTAGAGTGTAAAAGAAATGAAGTCATTAAGCTCCATCATGACATAGATCAGATCAATGAAGACAAGATCTTAATAAGCAAAAGATATTAATGAGCATGAGAACATGCTCACCGTGCAAGAAGTAGGCAAGCTTTACTGCCCAGGATGGAATAACTAACGATATAAAAGAGCTAACAGTTTTATAGAAACTACTGAAAACAACAAACACCACAAGCACTTCACCAGAATTAACAGTCATCATTTCAAAGTTTCTATTTATCCCAGTCTGGTTTGAAGTAAAAAAGGAAACATCTTCCCAACTTGGGCACGTGGTGAGCATGCATCAATTGTCACAAAATGTTCACACACTCCGGATAACTAGCTGTTTTGTTACTTTCGGCCAATCCAAGTTCCAATTAAATTCCAATAGGAAGTATAATACACAACACTTTCTTATAATGAACGTGTCTATCATGCATCTGGAAAATGTTTGGATAATTTGAGTAACCCGCAAATTTGTCGTTTTCAGGAATTCCATATCCCAATTCTTCCTAATTCAGGAAGCGTGTTAATAAATGTCCCACAACCGGAAAATCACAGAATTCAAATACCGACAAGGAATAATCCAAAACCTTTGTTGTTTCCCAAAAACATGCTTTCCACGATTGAACAACTCGACCAATTGAATTTCTTCCACGCATTAAACATTTATCCCAACACAGTCTTCAAGCATTCACAAGTTCCTGGTGATTCATACAAGGAAACAGCAACGGAAGCATCTCTATCAAGGCAACTTAACCAACAAAGCTACCATCTTATGCATCTGCTAAAACTTCTGAATTAAAATTTCTGCTCTAAACACCATTAAGAAAAGCATACATACGTGCATGTGACTATATGTGCCCAACTGTTCAAGAACATGGGACAACACTCAAACCTCAATCAACAAACAAGGAACCTTATGCGTCTGCTAAAACCTCTACATTCAATTCCAGTTCAATTATCACCACAAAACAAAAGGCCACACATGCATGCATATGATTTATGTGTCTATAAGCACAGAACACGACCGCCTCATAAAATACTCAAGATTCTAACAAACCGACCAAAAAGAAAACACCCACAACTGATCAAGCCATCAATCAACACAAAGAGCGAATCCAATATCAACATTCAGTACCTCTCTACTGATTGCAGCTCCAAATTCTTGATTCATCTCACGATCAAATCACCTAACATCAACCAAACAAATCAGCAAACCCATAATCTTAAAACAAAGTTAAAATATAAAATCAACCATATATCTCCATTCTAATCAAGTGAAACCACCAAAAAATTACAAATAAATTAAAAAAACAGAACAATAAAAGGCAAAACTTTTGCAAAAATGGAAACAAGCATATAGAAAATTGAACCTGAAAAATTGAAACTTCGATTTAAACAAAAACTCTCACTAAAAATCAGACATAAATCTCCATCTAATCAAACGAAATTCACCATAAAATCCTTTTATAAGAGCAAAATTCATGTAAAAATGGAAACATACAGCTGGAATATTGAAGCTGAAAACTTGAATTTCCGATTGATCGAAAAATTCAGCAAATTACCCACTAAAAATCAACCATAAATCTCTAACCAAATTAAAACCACCCAACAAAAAAAAAACCCCAAAAAGAAGAAAACTTTCATGAGGAAAATTGAATGCAAATCGAAAAGAACCCACTAAAAATCAGCTTTAACTCTCAATTCCAATCAAACACCCACCAAAAAAAAGAAGAAGCAGAATTCAAGCTGTATATGTAAGAATATAAACATGCAGATAGTAAAATTGAACCTGAAAGATTGAAACTTTGTGTTGATGAGAGAGAGAGAGTCAGCTAGGGTTCAATCAAAGAGGTAGATGATTGATTCCAAATGCAGCTGAAAAGCTATTAAATAAGTAGTACTACTACTAAACACTTATTTAATGAATTAATAAATACTGGTGAACAAAGTTTAGACCTGGTTTGTGTTGAGATACATATGATTCTATTATGATTTTTAAGTTTAAATTTTGCAAATAATTCTTTTTTGGTAAAGAATATAGGTTTTAGTGTTGTCTATGGAAACAGGTCTCTATACCTTTGATATAGGGTAAGGTATCTATACACACTTCACTCCATCCCCTACTGCATTATTGTTGTTTGAATATAGGCGTTGGTGTAAATCTGAATTAATTAAAAATTTTAATAGGAATACAAACACCGATTGTGAAAAAAGATAAATTTTAGGTACAACTTTTTTGTATACTATATATGTATGTAAGGCACAATCTTTTTATATACTACTCCTTTTACGTAACACAATTAGCTTATCGAGAGAAGTTTGACTAATATTTTAAAATATATTTTATAATCATATTGACATGAGAAAAATTATAACTCATAGTACTTTTTATGTAATTTTTATATATTTAAAATTTTAATTTTAAAATACTAAGTTAAGCTAATTTAATTTAACTTTAAAGTTTAGTCAAATTGACTCTCGATAAATAAATATGTTATCTAAATTAAAATAGATAGTGTATATAAAAAAAAATAAAGTTTAGGTACAACTTTCTATAAATGTATGTAAGGTACCACTAAATAAAGCACGAGTGTTGTTTTTTGGGGTCTCTAGCTAGAACTCTCCACGTGCCCCGTCTGTCTAATTAAAATTTTGTTGTGCTCATGCTTACGTTAAAAGAGTTTAATAAAAAGAAAAGAGAAAAGAAAAACCCTACTTTCTTTTTCTTTATTGTTTTCCTTTCTAAGAAAAACAAAACCCTACTTAATTTTACTAAAACTTTTGTTTTCTTCATGGCAAAGCGACAATTTCTTTTTGTTTTGTTTGTATTCTGATCTCTTTTCCTTTTAATTTTTTTTGGTTTGATCGGTAATTCACACTTGTTTTGATCAAAGTTTAAAAATGAAGAAGAAAAATAGAAGACTGTTATGAAAATAATTATATTGTGGATGTATATTTATTACTCCGTTATAGATAATTTTCTTGAAGAAGATTTTCCATTTAGTACTCTGTTGAAGTTTATCTACAAGCAGCTGATGCAGGCAGGTTGCAAGCAACTCAATGAAATGATTTGCAACAGCTTCTTATTAAACAGGCAGGTTGCAAGCAGCTCATACAGACAGCTTACAAGCAGCTAAAGAAAAGCCTTGCAGCTGCTTCCTGAAAAGCCTCGCAGCTGCTTCCTGAAAAGCCTCGCAGCTTCCTTTCTTCTATAAATAGAGGAGTCTGCAGTTCATTATGTACATGAATTTGAAGTTGAATAATATATCAGTTTCTTTCTATACTTGTTTTTACTTTACAGTCTTTATTTTATAATACGTTATCAGTACGAGACTCTGCCATCTCGAGAAAATACTTTGAAGGTATCAGAGGTACGAACTTTCTTTTTCTAAATAATGTCAAATCTTCCTAAACTTGAGTTTGTAGCCCTGGATATATCGGGCAAAAGCTACATGTCTTGGGTGCTTGATGCCGAAATTCATCTTGATGCGATGG